AGGAGGTTTGGTTTCTTTCAGTAGTTTCAGGAAGATTTACTGAAGCTGTCCCTGTTTCATAAACTGTGATTAGAAACTTTGATGTGGACATGAACAGCTGGAATGTACGTGTCTATGGCCGTATATTTCCATAAAGAAAGAAGTGAAAGAGTGCATTTTTCTTTTTTCACAGTGTCTCTGTTTTGATCATTTCTGTACATTTGGTATTTCCTTTAGGTTGAAGTTCTGCATGATTTTGAGGCAGCTAACGGTGACGAGCTTAATTTAAATGGAGGGGATATTGCACTAGTGATTCCTTCTGAGACCACAGCTGATCAGGTAACAACAACAGGATTACTTACTTCTTTTGCTAATGTTTCCCTTTGTCTCAGTTTCCTTCTCACTCTTTAGAGTTAATTTGAAATGTTGGTTCAAAACGTCTTTACTGTTAGAAAACAGCAGCATTCTTATTTTGCCCTTTTGCTTGGTTTGATTTGTGACCAAGCAGCACAGCTAACTAAGCTGAAGTCCCAGGTATGTACTGCCAGCAGGATCCAACTTCAGTGCATTTTTCTAGGGCACTTTAATGTTACTTTGTAGTGAATTTTATACAGGCTTACATACAGACCCAGGCTGAATACAGAAGATGGCTTACAAATGGTGCATCCTGCTATCATGTTGTTGTAACACTGGGTCAGAACTGACTGTATTTCCCCACATGTTCAGAGTTTTACATGGAGATCTGGGGAAATATGCATTTGCCCAGAGAGAGCACTGAGACTGCACACCAACAGTTCTGTCCTGCAGCCCAATGGCACAGAGGTGTTCCTACATGTCCTGTGTGCCTCTTGGGACCTGAGCCTCACAGCTGTGCTCTTGAGCTGCACCAGCAATCGCTTTGTCTTTGGTGCAAGAACCCAACAGTTCAGTGTCATTTAAGATGCTTTATTTTGTTTTAACAGCGTGTTTCAGGTTAATTTTTAAACAGTTCCACGTTATGCTGATTTGCAGTCAAGTGAATGAATTTTTTACCTCCTCTTTAGGAGCAGCCCATCTTGTACAATTTGTACGAGCCACTTTGTGGCTGCAGTGGTAGGAAGTGTTGATGAAAAGCATGCCATTGAACTGGGGGCTGGGAGGTTGGGCTCTGGACCTGCACAGTGAGACAGCCAGGTCTCTGCTCCGAATGGAGAGCAGTTCTTCAAACATGCCCAAATGCTGTCAGCGCGTTTGGAGAGCCAGAGACTGTTCGTTATCTAAGCTGAACTCTCTCTTAATACAAGAGACAAGTAATTGCTTTGGTTTCTGATTCTTTTTTATTGTTGTTTCTGAATAAAAGATTATTTTACTTTCCTTTTCACTGGGACGCTTTGTTATTTTGTAGGGACAGATCCTCTTATGCTTACTCAAACTGTGCTGCGTCTCACCTCTTGGGCTGTTCAGCTGAGTTCATTGTCAGTATTTGCAG